CCTGCTGATCTTAAAGGCCATCCAACATGCACCATTTTCTATAGCATCTTGCTTGAGCTCTCAATACTGATGTTTCTTTTTCTTCCCTTGAACCTTTTTTTTTAGTGCTCTAGACCTCTTATAATGTTAATTTTACCTTATGTTATAGCCTGCTTTTTGCCTGAGTTATGTTCCTAATAAGACATTACTTTTCCTTACTTCTTGGCTTCCCCCTTGAGAACCCATAAACCCACATATAAATCTCTCATCTTCTTTGATGCTTTCCCTGCCACCCCTGCCCTCTGCATGTATGGACTCACTTCCATCCTTGATGTAACCGTTCCACATTTTTCTATTATGGCAGATCATGTGCTGTTTCAACGACTTCTTTACAATAATCTTAACATAATTTTTGCAGTAAAATCTTCACTGCTAGTCATATAGTAGGTGCTCAGTAAAGCTCTTCTGTTGAGTCAATAACATATGCAACAGTTACTTGAGATACTGCTCCCATTTCTTTAAATTACGGCAGATTTAGAAGCATTTAGAAAAAATCTATAAAATGAAAAAATAGAGAAAAATATGTAACATTTAATGATATGTTTTTAACATATCATATGCTTAATATATTTTTTTTTATTTAGAAAAATGTGATAAAGAAAATACTGAGAGAGATATAACTCAAGCCACTGATAGCTGTTTCACACATGGAGAGATGCAAGACCAGTCCATTTGGGGAAATTGTTCGGATGACGAACTCATCAGAAGTAAGTATTTTTGGAGAAAACTGGAGTGCTTTGGGGACATGACTATGATAATATGCTCTTAGTTAATCATCTGATATAATTCTGCTAGAAATCTGTAAATCAACAGGGTTCATCTGAAAGTGTTTTTCATGAGTCTTTTAAAATGCAGCGCTAAAAGTAGCGTATAAATAATACTGTCTGTCAGCTTTCAACCCATCTTTAAAAAGGAAGAATTGACCTATACATTTTGGACTCCATCCTCAGAGAGACTTAAACAAAACTTAATACCTTCTTGAGCAGTGACTAAGTAGAAGTCAGACAGTTCGAAGTATAAACAGACTGTGAAACTAAAAAGATAAAGACGGAGGTAAAGGACGATGAGTAGTGCTTTGGTAATGCCGTGTGGTCCTTGTTCTTCTGGCCAAATGATTCCAAACTGTTTTTTACAGTTAACACTTTTATCACTACTTGGCTTCTTTTTATTCTCTTTCTCTTCTTAAAATTGCTCTGTAGAATATATAAGAAGCTTTGGTTTAGTTTTGTTTTACTCTGGGAATACACTGAAATGTCAGTATCTTTTGAGTGCTATTCAGAATGCCTGTCAATGTCAGGTTTTACTTGTTCTGGTCGCTAAATTCCCCCAGGTGGATTCAAGATGAATTTGCCATATAATGAACAATTTTCTGTAGTGAATGTGTAAGTAGAAAGAACACTACTGTGCCACACCTGGAAGGGCATAGGAGTACTACATCTTTTGAAATTCTCATTCATGGTAACAGAATTATCGTGTCACTTCTCAGTTTTCCAGAGTAGACAGAGGAGAAGTTTTATTCTGGGAATCAAGTGTTGTTTTACTTTATTTTTTTAAATTTAATTCTTCAGTCCAGACAACTTCATAATACAGACCCTTTTTTGTGTTACATATTACATTTACTTTGAATCTTGGAATATTGCCTTTCCTCTCTAGAATGCCCAGTATCTGTCCTTAACTGAAACCAAACAGAAAAAAAGCAGATAGAAGGAAAAAGCCAACTTTGTAGAAAACAAAAAATAACAATAGAAACAGTACTGAAGGAGACTTCAAGTTTTCAAACAAAAGTTCTAAAAGTGAGTGTGTTTTAGTTTAATTTTAGAACCATTTTGGTTTTTTACACCTTTCTATTTGGGAAGGGAATAGAAAGGAAATGAAACTCAGAAATTTGTGAGGAGCGAGATTTATATAGCTTTCTCCAAAGAATCAAATAAACATTATTTCAAGTAAACATTTATCGCTGAAACATATATTGGTTGTCTTCTATCTAAATATTGACTCTACTGTTGTGAAGCTTAAGGTTTTGTGAGATACTGGCATATTTTATCTGTGATTTCCCAAACAACCAGAGAGTTAGAGCGAGAAGGGGTCTTACAGACAATTTTAACTTCACCTTTTGGGAGGCATAATTGTTTGCTCATTTTTTTTTTCCCCATAGTCACAGAATTTTAAGTGTGTGTGTTTCATTTAATTGATTTATTTCCATAATCTCCCTACCCAGGGCCCATACTAGGAAAACGTGAGTAAGAACTCTTAGGACAAAACCCAAAATATAAGTACTGTTGTGTAAGGATGTGGCGAGTCATATTAACATGTTAAAACTTTTTTGTGCTATTTGATGAAGCTCATTTTAGTTGCAGAATTCATACCATTAAAGGGAATGGATTTAAAATGAACTCCTCTCTCTATTGTCTATACTGGTTACATGGACAGTGATAAAAAGAAAATATTGTAAAGTGCATGAAATAGATTCTTTATTGAGATGGCGATGCAGCCTGTACCATGGGGCACTGGAGTATTTGGGAACAACTGTCTAGTTGCCTACTAACATGCACTGAAGGAATGCAGAGAGAGAGGGCTGCTGGGAAAACTGACAGATGAATGGATATTGAAAGATAATGGCCAAAGACAGTATTGTTCTCTGGCCCAAAACATGTTGCCAAGAATTTCCAGATATTTGTGGGTGACTCTGGACTGTGAATTCTGATGACAGAGTTCAAAAACTACATGTCTGTTATTTTCCTGGTCATACTTTTCTAGACAAAGGCTACTCTGTTGGGTCTACAGAAAAATTTGATATCTCGATTTGCTGGGATGGAGCATTTTATGTCATCTTTAAAACCGACTTAAGTCTGGATAGCATTTGCAAGTTTGATAATCTGATAGCTTCTGCTCTTCCAACTCCCAGATACTAAACTCTACAAACCTAGCCTGACTTTCCATCTTTGGCTTTCCCCATTGATTCGCTGGCCATCTCTGTGTCATTTAACATCTGTCTCTCTTAACCCTGCAGTTAGGGAGATGCTTCAGCATCTAGCCCATTTTGGGGGCCCAGTGAGTCTTTTGTAATAACAATAGGCCCTGGAAAGAAGGCGGTGGCTCAGAGCTGCATGGGGGAGGAGGGGAACATCTGTGGTGAGTCAGGACTGGGCTGGCTCCTGTGCCAGAGTCCTGTGTGGCTCCCTGAGCACCGTGGAAGAGGCAGACAGCTTGCTCTCATGGAATTGATTTTAGTTTCCCACTGCAGTGCGAGGTTGGCTGGATGGAGCCATCATCAGAAAAATGAGGCCGGCTAGGGTGTGGGAACATTTTCAAATGTGCAACCCACTCTTTTTCCAAGCTTCCATGGGACAGTTCAGCTGCATAAGCAAGAAGTGAAGGGGAGTGACTGTTTAATGAGACTTTTTTCTTATCTATTCTTGAGAGTGGTGAGTGAGGGCTGGCCGCTAATGTCTCTGTTGTCCCAGATGCCTGCTGCCTTCTTTGTTAGATGTTTAAGGCATAATTTATAGGGGACTGTTAGCTGTCAGTGTGATGAGGCTGTTTTTACTTTTCTGAGAATAACCGGGCTCTGGAAAGTCAAGGGAGTGGCTGCTTTGGAAATTGTATTCTAATTAAAGGGTGTATTCTCAGGCCTCATAAACGAGATCCAAGCTGAGAATAATTTCCAAATTATTCTGTGAACTTTAACCCTGACCTCAGTGGACCACCCATTTGTGGCTCAAAGTTGGTGCAGCCTCTACACAGTCCTTCCAGCTTTGTGTGCCTTCTCTGGTCCTTCTAGAAAACATCACAGGTGGCAGACCTGAGGTATTATGCTCTCAGGGCCTAGATTTCAAATTGGTTGCCCTTGAGTTGCTGACTTATTAGAATCCTTTCTGGAAGTTATAAATAAAGGAGAAGAAATCCATATGGAATCGAACATTTCAAATAAATAGGCCATACACAATCTGGTCAGGGAATGTGCATTGTGATTCTCTTTCTTATGAAATTTAAATGAAAAAGATGATTCCAACCACTTAAATTTGTTTTAAAAAAAATCTAAATCAAATCAGTAAAGAATTAAAAACATAAGGAGGTTTTGTGAGGAAATTTTATAATTGGAAAGGGTTTTTTTTACTGTGTAAATTTTTATCCTTTATACAGTTTAAAAGTCATTCGTATTTGGAGAAAATATTTTGGTGTATAATTTAATTTCTGGAATGGGGCTCACATTTTAGAATTTGTAAAAGTATCTTTCTATGGTTAAGACTGGCTTTTCCCCTCAGATTAGCATATATGGGACAGTATAGAATTTGGAGCTATGCCTTGTTTTACTAATCATTAGTCCTCTGACTTAGTGGAATAAATGTTGCAGTGAAGTGACTTCCTCAATTAATATTAATTTTTCTATTTAACCCATAATATGCATAAACTGATAACAGGCAATAGGCAACATTTCATGTTTTAATTAGGCTAGAAAAGGAACAGAAGTAACATTTTATCTCAGTCTTTGGGGGGATTTCTAAGGTAGGAAGGAGTGTCTCTGTGTGTGTGTGTGTGTGTGTGTCTCTGTGTGTGTGTGTGTGTGTGTGTGTGTGTGTTACTGTGCTTATACTCATAGGCATGAGTAAATTTTCCTTTAATTTAGGTCAAATTCTACTATTCTAATTATTTCCTATGGAGAGAGAGCTTACATTTTTCTTTGTTCTTCTTTCTAAAATGCCTCAGGTCTCTCAGTTTTTTCTAGGTCTTTCTGAAAATTCTTACTACTTAACTTTATCCTTGGACATTGTTTTTTACATAAACGCCTCCTAATTCTAAATGTCATTACTTCACCCTAGAAATTTTCCTTAGCTTCTCTTCTGAAATAAATTTCCCATTAAATGAAACTATTTTGCTCAGCTAGTTCTCTCCTTAGTGATTTTGTAGAATTCCCATGATCTGAAGCAAAGTTAGAATGCTCTACTTAAATGGTAATCCCCATTCTATTTAACCCATTTATTCATTTTGAAGAGGTTTTAGCTCTCATAATAGTAAGCACTTAATTGGTAGTAGAACACAAGCCCTCGTTCTCTAATTCACACTCACCTCTTCTTTATGGAGCTGGTGCATCATGCATTTTCACTCATGCTTCTACTTGAAACTCTCTTGGCGTCCTCTGAGTTTCCTCTCAACAGGCTCTGTTGTTAGGAACTCTATCATTTCTTTTACTAGCCTTTGCCAACTTATTGCTGATCACCCCTTAATGAATACCATTTCATCACATTAGGGAATGCTTCCTCTATCTAAAATACTGAAAGAAAGGCAGAGACTACTCAGGTGTACTATTTATATACTTAGAGCATTTCTCACTTTGACTAGAGGGAGAGAACACTGAGAGGTCGGGATTTAAATGTTTTCAGAGGCTATCATGTTTTAATGCTCATCTCAGTAAGTATTATTTGGTTTTCTTTAGGATTCATTTTATATAAAAGAGGCCATAAACAGGCACCCCACCCCCTTTCCCCCCAGGTAAGTACCACCCAGTAGGACTGGGAGATGTGGCTTCCCTGCTATGTTTCTTAGGTAATCTGGTAGTCTTTTCCTAATATCAGTACTTCATGCTCATTCATTTGGGAGTAAGTCATGGTGACTTCTATCTTGCTTAGTATCTAGTCCTCCATTTGTCTCTCAGAAAATTTCTCTTTTTTAATATGCTGACCAAATGGTGATGTAGCTACAGTTCGGA